ATCCGGAATCCTGAGAGACTGACGCTGATATGAAAGACTCCTCAGAATCAGACTCAGAACTAGAAGAGGGATCCGGAATCCTGAGAGACTGACGCTGATATGAAAGAATGGTCCTAACATCCCTTTGGATAGTTGAGACTTGCTTCTAAACGTTTGAGAACTGAGTCTCAAGACGATCCAGACGGTCACAAATATCAGAAGAGGATGCGGAAGAAGCTCTAGACCGGGAACGAGAGGATGATGACTGAGAGGGATCAGAATAGGAAATCTGCATTCTTGAAAGAGAGACCTTATCAAAGAAATCCTTCTTAGATTCAATTTTGGGTTCATTGGTGAGATCAATACCGAAATATTGAAGGAAGAGGGTGATAAAAGAGCCAAAAGGTAGAAATTTGAAATGCTTCGATGCCATGTTTTTGATAAAAACATTTGCCCAATCTACTTTTATTTTGGAAAATAAGGCATATACCGCATTGATCTTGTCAGAAGCAAAATGATCGAAACTACCGGTTTTAGGAATCAAATTATGAGCAATAATTCTAGCAATGAGTTTGGCATTTGGATTGAGGGAATTGTTGTGTTAGACCCTAGAGGGGGGGGGGGTGATTAGGGTCTTATGCTAATCTAATCCGATTATATGCCAATAAAAACTAATTAACAAGTTATCCTTGTTGTGCGCGGCGGAAGCTTTCTAGGGCAACACGAACAATAACTCGAACTAAACCACAAACAATATGCAAACCACAATCACAGCAAGAACAAAGAATTTACGTGGTTCGGCAAGTTGCCTACGTCCACGGGGCAAGGAGGGGGGAGATTTTACTACTAGAAATCAAGGGAATACAAATAGGGTTACAAATCTCTCAGACCAAACCCTAAAACAAAGCACTTGATCTCTCAAAGCTCTCCCACAATTGGATGCAACAAATCTCTCTTAGAGGCTGCTCAAAATCGTCCTTCAGATACCCTAACAAATTAGGTTTAGGATATATATAACTTACAAAACGAAATGGGTCAAAAACCTGAAAGCCCAGCCCAGATCATCGTCGGTCGACCGCGGCGGTCGACCGCGCAGGTCTTGCGGTCGACCGCACCGGTCGACCGAATCATCAAACCCGAGAACCGGTCGACCGACCACCTTCCTGACGCACAGTAAGCTTTGTGCACGAATGCGGTCGACCGGACCGGTCGACCGCCGCCTGGTTTGCCTGATTCTTCTGAGTTTCTGTAATTTCTTCAATTCTCCACCTCGGCGAATGTTTCCACCAAAAACTGAGCCGACACCAAATCATCCAATAGTTCCTCAACAAGTCCAGGAACAATACTCGAGCTGAAACACGATCTCCCCCCATCTTGATCAACTGATCAAACCGGCTGCATCTAAAGACTGCCTACGTATCCTCTTGCCCAAGGAATCAAGCCGAACGTAGTTCATCCAAATGGCCTCCAAAGGCCTCAGCACTGAAGGATGTTCAAAAGCTTCAAACAATGACCAAATTTCACACCTGAAACAACTTTGTTCAACATATCTGCAGGGTTGCCATTTGTGTGGACCTTCTCCAATATGACATCTCCATCATCCAAGACGTCCCGAACAAAGTGAAATCTGACGTCGATGTGCTTCGTGCGCGCATGATAAAACTGGTTCTTCGCCAAATAGATAGCCGACATACTATCACAATATATCCGAATAGTCTCCTGAGCAATCCCCAAGTCCTCCAATAATCCACGCAACCATAAAGCCTCCTTAATAGCTTCAGTAACTGCCATATACTCTGCCTCTGTAGTAGAGAGAGCCACTGTGGACTGAAGCGTGCAACGCCAACATACAGGTGCACCTGCCAATGTAAAAGCATAACCTGACGTAGACCGGCGTTTGTCAAGATCTCCAGCATAGTCTGAATCCACATACCCAATACAAGCCTGCCCATCCTTCTCATCCTTCTGAAATACTAAACCAACATCCACGGTTCCTTGAACATACCGTAGAATCCACTTCACGGCCTCCCAGTGACCCTTCCCGGGGTCATGCATGTATCTCGATACCATGCTCACGGCCTGTGACAAATCTGGCCTCGTACACACCATCGCATACATCAAGCTACCTACTGCACTGGCATATGGGACCTTCGACATATAATCTCTGTCCTCAACTGAAGCAGGTGACATCAACGCTGAAAGCTTGAAGTGGGGAGCCAATGGTGTGCTAACTGCTTTTGCATTGCCATCAAAGCTGAATTTCTTCAACATCTTCTGCAAGTAGCTCTTCTGTGTAAGCTTCAAACTCCCTCTCACCCTGTCTCTCTCGATCTCCATACCCAATATCTTCTTTGCCTCTCCAAGATCCTTCATCTCAAACTCGGATGATAAATCCTCTTTCAGCTTTCGAATAGCCGAAGAATTCCTGGAAGCAATAAGCATATCATCAACATATAAAAGCAAATATATGAGCTCACCATCCTGTAGCTTGTGCATATAAACACATGGGTCATATGGGCTCCTCGTGTACCGTCTTGATGACTGCTTCAAACCATAAAGAGACTTCTTCAGGTTACAAACCAAATTTTCCTTTCCTGCAGCTTTGAAACCCTGTGGTTGTGTCATGTAGATCTCCTCATCTAAATCACCGTGTAGAAAGGCTGTCTTCACATCCATCTGGACCAAATCCAAATCCAACTGTGCCACCAACGCCAATAAAATCCGAATCGACGAATGCTTCACAACGGGTGAAAATACCTCGTTGTAATCAATGCCCTCAAGCTGTGCATATCCCTTGGCAACTAATCTGGCTTTGAACCGAATGTCCCCAATAGAAGATCCCTCCTTCTTCGCATATACCCACTTGCAACCAATAGCTTTCTTACCCTTAGGTAGATGTGCAAGTGTCCAAGTGTCGTTCTTCTGAAGAGACCGCATCTCCTCCTCCATAGCTTCCCTCCACCTGATCGAATCGGGGCTAGACTCTGCCTCCCTGAATGTGGCTGGAACCATATCATCAACGACCTCCACTGATAATGCATATGCGACCATGACATCATTATACCTAGCTGGCCGACGAATCTCTCTCCTCGGTCTATCTGCTGCAATGGTCCTCTGAACATGACCCTGTTCCTGAGTCCCATGATCTACTGTATCCTGTATCTGCCCATCTGTCATCTCATCTCCTCCCAGTGTCACCTCTGTAGGAGCCTCAATGGATACAGTGTTCTCTGGAGTGGGTGGAGTCACATCATCCTCCACCTGCTGCGATATCTCTCCTGTCTGGTCTCCCTCCACCTGCTGAGGGGCTCGAGGCCTCATCATGTACGCCTCGTCAAATGTGACATCTCTGCTAATAACTATCTTCTTGTCCTGTGGATCCCATAACTTGAAGCCTTTGACTCCATCCCTAAATCCCACAAAGACTGCTTTCCTCGCTCTCGGATTTAATTTGCCATCACTGACATGATAATAAGCTGGACACCCGAATATCCGAAGCGACTCATAGTCACTAGCCACCGAACCAAACCAACGCTCCAAAGGAGTCTTCCCGTCTATCGCAGTGCACGGCAACCTGTTCACAAGATGGCTCGCATAAACCAACGCCTCGGCCCAAAAAGATCTAGGCAATCCACTCTGCGTCATCATACACCGCACCTTCTCCAGCAAGGTACGGTTCAATCTCTCAGCCACCCCGTTCTGTTGCGGTGTCTCTCGAACTGTGAAGTGTCTTCTAATGCCGTGATCCCGGCAAAACTGCAGAAACGGATCACTCTTGTACTCTCCACCGTTATCTGAACGTAGAGTCTTCACCTTTCTACCTGTCTGCAGCTCCACTTTCTTTTTCCACTCCACAAAAATATCCAGGACCTGATGTTTATGCTTCATCGGGTATACCCAATTCCTCCTGGAATAATCATCAATGAAAGTGACAAAATAGTTGGCCCCACCAAGAGATGTGTTCTTGGAAGGACCCCAAACGTCCGTGTGAATATAATCCAATGTACCTTGGGTGTTATGAACAGCGGTGCCGAACTTCACTCTAGTCTTCTTCCCAAGTACACAATGCTCACACAATTCCATCTTGCAGGTCTTAGCACCTTTCAATAGCCCCTGTTTAGCCAATGACTGTAGGGACTTATCTCCTGTGTGTCCAAGTCTCATGTGCCATAAGGTGGTAGTGTCCTCCTCTGTAGTGATAGAAGCTGCCAGACCCCCTGTAACTGTCTTGCCCTTCAAGTAGTATAGGTAGTTTTCCCTGACACCTCGCATCACCACCATAGAACCCTTCGTGACCTTCACTGTAGCATCCTCTAAGATCACTCGATATCCTGCTGCCTCCAAAGTCCCAAGAGAAATGATGTTCTTCGTCAACTGCGGCACGAACCTCACTTCCTTCAATTCCCTCACTACACCATCATGCATCCTGATCCGGACTGAACCAATACCACCAATAGGGCATACGTGATCATTACCCATAAGCACGACATCCCCTCTTTCCAGCTCCTCAAAGCTAGAAAACCACTCCCTCTTAGGGCAGATGTGATATGTAGCTCCCGAATCCATCATCCACTCCGTGGAATCCGCATAGCAAACCGACGGTAAAGCAGGGCATGAATAGCCTGAAGAATCTGAATCTGAATGCTCACCAATAGCTTTTGCAACATTCACTTCTGAAGCTTGTGCAGCTTTCCCCTTATTGAGCTCCCCTCCGCCCACCCCACCCCAAGCATGATAAAGTTTCTTTCAGATGCACAGCCAAAACACGTATATCAGCCACTAAAACCTGAAACCAACATTCTTATTCCTCAAGAGCGATTCAACAAAAGCCTAGTCCATTTATACCACACCGAGCTCCCCTCCGCCCACCCCACCCCAAGCATGATAAAGTTTCTTTCAGATGCACAGCCAAAACACGTATATCAGCCACTAAAACCTGAAACCAACATTCTTATTCCTCAAGAGCGATTCAACAAAAGCCTAGTCCATTTATACCACACCACACGCTGGACCCCATAACGTAGAAAAACAAACAGAATGATGTGCAAATTTCCATTGTTTCCATCTTAGTGTACTATTAAACAACAGCTTCACTACATTCTTTTAAACATTTCCCATTGATTCTACATTAAAGAAAGTAACATAGAAAAATGGAAGACATATACAACTCACCCTCCTCAGTATACATAACAATCAATATAGTTCACTTCCACACTAGGCAATCTTATGCTTATGATTCCTCCAATGATGCCTCCTACCAACATATTTCAGCACCTCATCAATGAGAATCACCGGGAACGAAACCAAAATAACCAGAAACCACTCATTCAAACTCAACGGAACAATCCCAAACACCGTTGCAAGAAACGGAACATAAAGGATGAGAATATGCAGACCAAAAGAAATCATCATCGCAACTAAAAGCCAAGGATTCCTCCAAGGAGGCATTCGAACCAAACTATTATCCTCCGATAGAGCATTCAATGAATTAAACATCTCAATTGCTACCAGAACCGATAAAGATAAGGTCATCGCCTTTACTTTTCCGACAGTGAAATAATCGCAAGGGTCGGAAAAGGAAATTATGCGGTTACCAGCCATGAATGGATCCGGCGAGAAATCTACCCATTTATGGCAATCTCCCCATGATCGGAGCTCGGAGAGGGAGACTAAACTATGACCATCACTAGTGAGATTGATGCCCATGAATGAGGGCTGAGTGTACCATATTATGAAGATTCCAACAGTGGCTAAACCGACATAGGAACCAATTACCTGTAGACATGAATGAAGAAATTAGCACATGTGACTGATTTAGAACCCTAGAATTTGATATTTATGTTGTTTCAGAATAGGGTCTTTTAGATGTTAGTCCCTCAAATTTTCAATAACTCCATATTAGTCTTTCAAATCCTCAAAATTGCTCGTAAGTCCCTCAAATTCTAAGGGGCCTTGCAAATTGATCCTTCAATGACCAAAATGCCTTTCGGCGCGTGTTTTGAGGTATTTTAGTCATTGAGAGACCAATTTGTGAGACCCCTTAGGATTTGAGGGACTTATGAGCAATTTAAGGCTTTGAGAGATTAATATGGAATTATTGAAGATCTGAAGGACTAATATCTAAAAGACCATTTAGGATATCGTATATGTGATATTTAAAACACACAAAACTATACATTAGGATTTGCAATGGAAGTGTATATGCTGGGATAGTTACACATATGGGCGCATTAACTTTATTTATGCAGATTTATAGCAACAATATTTCACTAAGTCTTCTTATAGGCTTGAAGATGTTAATGAGCATAATAGAATGTCTTAGGAATTATGTAATAGGGGCTGCTCAATGTTGGAGTTTTATAAGAAGTACAGTGTTTAAATGTAGAAAACATTATTGATTAGGTAAAATTGCACAATTGTTCTAGTAATAAATATGTGGACATTCAAAGATTTAGGGTAACTTGCATATAACCACTCTCATCTATACTTTCAGCAGCAAATCAGCCCCCTCAAGCATTAAAAGCCCTGCTATTCATGAGAGAGAGGAATGTTATCTGTAAATTATCTTTTTAAAAATGACAATCATGGGGTGTTAAGTGCTAATATGGACACAGGCCACATATACCTCTTGAAGCATGCAGAAAATACTGCTGGAAATAAATTTTCAAATTTTCAAATTTCATCAGTAAACAAATCTAGGGATCAAATTGAGGAGCTGAGTGTTCATACCATGTATCTAAACAGAACCCAGGAATTGATCAGGGGATCGTTGCTTTTCCTCGGTGGCTTATGCATGATATCAACATCAGCAGGATTGAAACCAAGGGCAGTTGCAGGAGGCCCATCAGTAACCAAATTGACCCAAAGAAGCTGAACCGGTATTAAGCATTCAGGTATACCAAGTGCAGCAGTCAAAAAGATGGAGATCACTTCTCCTACATTAGATGATATCATGTACCTATAACAAGAGGAAGAAAATGGCATCAAAAATCCTTAAAAGTTAATTAAAACAATCACAAATTGATTGATAATATACCTAATAAAAGATTTCATGTTGTCGTAAATTGAACGTCCTTCTGCAACGGCTGCAACAATCGTGCTGAAATTATCATCAGCTAGAATCATATCCGAAGCTTCCTTCGCAACCTTAAAAAGGAAATTAAATCCATTTTCAAAATTGCACAGTGATGAAGAATAAAAAGATAAAATTATAAGAAATTGAACAACAAAGAGTTCAAATTATAGATTGAGATGATTTGGACATATAGAATGGAGTTCAGCGAGTGGACCAATTGATAGAAGTGATAACATATAATTAATGGAGCAAGGAGGAATAAAGGCAGGCCTAAGAGAATTCGGTTTGAAGCAATGAAGAAGGGATATGATAGTGGTTAACTTAATGGAGGAGATAGCCTGCATAATTCAATGGAAGAATATCTAGCAGACTGAAAACTTCAGGACAGTACCATTTGGTATCTAACTGTGTGTTAGCTGCATATAGACCCCTTGAGTATCTCTGTTTTGAACTTACCACCCCTTTAGTTTTATTTTACAGATATACGCCCCAATTGAAATTTTTTAACTATTTTACCCTCAGAGAAAGAGAAAATTGCTTTTGACAAATAGGCCCCTCTGTGTAAGAGTCAAAAATTTCACTTCGGGAGTTTGAGAAGTAGTCCTTGATCGGTTGTGTGAGGACACATTGATGGGTTAAAATAGTAAACCTAGGGAACCAAGTAGTCCCAAATTGGTTGTGTGAGGACACATTGATGGGTTAAAATAGTAAAGCTAGGGAGCCAATGTAATCATGGTTAGCCATTTTTGGCGGTTGATTAGCCAAACAACTCTGGTTAAGCATATGCTTAGGCGAGACTAATACTAGGATGAGTGACCTTCTGGGAAGTTATAGTGTTGCACTTAGTGGGACTTAGAGTTTACACTGCGCCAAGAGGCGTAACAAGAGTATCTGCGAAAATAAAACTAGATGGTAGTAAGTGCAATACAACGATGCTAAGGTGTGTCTATCTGCAATAAACCCTGTAACTTCATAGCATGAAATGGAGAAAGGATCTAGATTTTACCTCAGTTCCAGTGATACCCATAGCAATTCCAATGTCAGCTAGTTTTAATGCAGGCGCATCATTGACACCATCTCCAGTCATTGCAACAATTTCACCCATTTCCTTAAGAAGTCGCACAATTTCCTGCTTATGCCTCGGCTCAGCACGAGAAAATACAATACCTCCAGGCTTTGACAAAATCTCAATCCTCCGACTAACGGGAAGAGCCATAAATTCTTTTCCAGTAAAACTATGATCATTTATATTTGTTGAGCTAGATAACAAGCCAATCTCCTGGCAAATTGCTTCTGCTGTTGACTTATTATCACCAGTTATCACCATAACTTTAATACCTGCTTCCCTACAATCGTCAATTGCTTTATAGACTTCACCACGAGGAGGGTCCTAGTAGTTAAAAAACATGACAAAAAGAAAATTAGAAATTTGAAGTGATGATATAGGAATAAAGTATAATAAAGGGATACTTGTACATAGTATCATTGGTTTGAACATTCCACGCCTATAGTTTTATTGTTGCGGATAGAGCCCCTGTGTTTAATTTTTCAACTCTTTTACCCTAGGTGAAATTTTGGAAGATATTGCCCATGAGTAAAATTAGTGTCTATCTGAGGGTAAAAGAGTAAAAAAAATTAACACAAGGCGTCTATCTGCAACAATGAAATTGCAGGGCTAGTAAGCTCAAATTACCGATACTACATGTAAGCGTGCACCCAGGGGGCGGGGGGTTCTCTGTGCAATGCAATTAACCATATAATAAAACAGGAGACTCACTCTTAGACCAACAACACCGACAAAAACAAGATTGCTTTCTATCTCGTAGTAGTTAGCTGGATCAAGTAACTTCTTGTGAGCAGGATGAGACTCAGCATAGTAATCTGAGAACTCCCCCAAGTCATCTTTGTATGCAAACCCTAAGCATCGCAAGCCCTTTGAGCTCATCTCGTGTAATCTCAATAGTATTAGCTGCCTGCATGGCTCATCAATAGGTGAAATTGATCCATCTGCTAGTTGGACACGTGAACTTCTTTCCAAAATGCTTTCAACAGCGCCCTGGAAATGAATAGATTAGATTCAACATACAAATGAAGGAAACAAGTGTAAAGATGCTAAACCTTATTTATTCTATTACTTGAAAATCGCACCCCTGAGTTTCACCTTAAGAAATCCAGAAAAACCCTCAGTATTTGAGGTAAAAAAACAAAATGACCTCACACTAAAGAAAATCAGCAGAAATGCCCTCACGCCTGGAAAAATCAACAGGAATGTCCTAAAATTCGGAAACATACAGAAAAACACCCTTCCCTTAACAATTCAACTACAACGCTCTCGCAGGTCTCGTGACATACACGCATCACGTGCACTAGAATATTGTTGGATATTCATGTGTGAGTATGATCATCAGATAGGATAAGAAAGAGTCATATTTCCTATCCCATTAGCTCTAAGTTGGGCATGATTGCTCCCCAACAAATGGCCTCACGGCTAAGGTTGTAGTCCAAGTATAAAAAAGAAGTGACGTTCAATGTGAAGCCTGAAGCCATTGGGAGAATGACTAGGTCGAGTTAGACCAAGTCAACCCACAGATGCCTATAAGAGTGATATGGTCAGGTTAAAGCCCACAAAGGAAGTGGGGGGAGATCCTACTGATGCTTAATAGCCATGTAACGAATGCGATATCCATGTGTGAGTATAGTCCCACATCGGATAGGATAATAAAGAGTCATAGGTTTAACATAGGAGTTGAGACCATACCTAGCAGGTATGGCTTTTGGGTTAAAATTGGTTCCTAGTTGGACTAAAATTGGTTCCTAGCTACACTAAAATTGGTTCCTTCTTTGTTAACTCTAGGTTGGGCCTGATTTCTCTCCAACAAATACTAGTAACTAAAAAGAAAAATTGATTTACCTTGACAAGGAGTCGATTGCTTCCAGTTGGTTCACGTACAATTACACTCATTGATTTACGAACTCGATCAAATTCCAAGGTGGCTATCCTTCTTGATCTCTTCATCCACCATCCACAACAGCCTATGAATTAAAAAAAGAGCTTAATGCCTAAATGATGGTAGTAACAGGGTTCAATATATAAAGTATACGAAGTGCTCATTTACTCACCTAACTTCACTGAGGTCTGATCGATCAAATAGCCAATTTTGTTCCTTATCTTAGTGTCAGGAACTCCCATCTTCTCAACCAAAACCTGTAAAATGAGGAAGTACACTTAAATACATCAGGAAATATGATTCCCAAGTTAGGTAAAAATAATTCAAAATATCGATGGTTCCTCCTTAAATATATTATATTGTAGAAAGAACCACTTTGCATACACTTCTCCTATCTTCTAAAGACTAGATTATTGCCCATATGGATTTTCTAGTTCCAAGGAGGAGAAAGAGTTGTTGGACGAGAAAACAAACATGAAAAACTTGGGATTTATGGGTTTAGGGATGAACTAATAACAAAAATAATAAAAACCAATGTTAGTGCTTACGTGCATCTACCTACATATTACACGCTATCTATTCAGTAACTCCTTAATCAGTTAAATCTTGCTTATGCACCAATCATATCATACGATTTCTCTCTTCTGCTTTTGTCCATCATGTAAAATTAGTTTCACGATTCTCTACTACATTTCCCCCAATAAGTATGCATAGATTAGCCAATTGTCTAGGAAATATGTCCTTGACCTATAAACTCAAGCTCTATGATGTCAATACTCAAAGACAATCTGAATTCAAGCCATAATCACAGTACATCTACAAACAGTCTTCTAACAAATGTAGGTGTAGACGGATCATAATTCATGATTCTTATTTACATTTTAGTACACACATATTTTTCTCTAAGCAATGAATAAAGCAACAAAAAAAATAAAAAAAAAAATCAAATTTATCATTTGAATTTTTGACTGAAGAATATTATTCATACCTATTAATTCATACCTATTAACTTTATGGTCCTAAACACTTTTCACTTACACAAAACCATCTGAATATCTCTTTGAATCTGTGATTGCCTATCATGTATATAAGAAGTTTGCAGCTATTTTGCGGAACAAACCTTTAGAGCTGCTTCTGTAGGCAACCCAGTGGCCCGAAAGAGGTGCTCATTGCAATAAACCCCTGCATCATTGCATATTGCACATATCTCTGCCAAAGCTTGCAAGTTTGCATCCATGTTGTAATAGCTCCAATCAGTGATCCCTCCATCCCTAGGGTTATATGTCGTCCCTTCTACATGAAACACTCTTGATGCAGTCGTCTTGCCTCCAAGCGTAAAGAATTCGTTAACCGACATCTGATTAGTTGTTAAAGTGCCCGTCTTATCTGAGCAAATTACGGTTGTACACCCTAAAGTCTCCACACTAGGGAGCTTCCTCACAATTGCATTTTTATGTGCCATCTTCCTAGTGCCCAAAGCTAAACAAGTTGTAATAACAGCAGGAAGACCTTCGGGAATCGCTGCCACTGCGAGTGCAACTGCTATCTTGAAATAATACGTGCACTTTTCGAAAGAGAACCGAAAATTCCACAAAGATGCATTTGCTGACTCCCATGTAATGAAATTCCTGTAGTTGATAGCCCAAACAACAAGACAAACAATGCCAATTGCGGTGGTAAGCCTCTCACCGAATTCATCCAGCTTCTTCTTCAAGGGAGTTTCATGTTCTTCTAATGAAGCTTCGTGTATTTGAGTCTGGATTTTTCCTATCTCTGTGTCCATACCAATATTGCTCACTATACCGACACAAATACCATTGACAATGGTAGTCCCTGAGAAGAGCATACATTCTTTGGCTTGCAACTCGCAATCGTCCATAAACACTGGACTGGTAACTTTGATAACGGGCATGCTCTCGCCTGTTAACGAGCTCTGTTCTACTCTCAATGTCGAAGTTTTTATCAATTCAACGATATCTCCAGGTACTAGCTCTCTAGCGGGAAGATCAGGTACATAACACCCATCCCTCCAAACCTTAGCATATTCACACTGCATCTCCTTCAAGGCTTCTAGAGCCTTTTCAGCATTGGTCTCCTGCCAAACTCCCACAATCGCGTTAAGGACAAGAATCGACACAATCACAAAGGGTTCTATATAAATCTCAAAACCTCCGTTATGACCCGATTCATTTCCTTGAAGGTAAGCAAGAACGAATGAGATAAATGCAGCGACGAGGAGAATTTTAACGAGTACATCATCGAATTGCTCCAATATGAGACACCATAGTGGTTTCCCCTTCTCCTTTCTCAATTCGTTCCACCCGTATCTCTCCCTTCGCTTCTCAACATCAAAAGAGCTCAAACCTTTCTCCAGCTTGACATTGTATTCCTTCAAGCATTGCTCAACTGACCAAGACCATGCAGGAAATGGTTTTTCTTCCATGACCCCCAATGAGACCATAAAATTTCGCTTCTAGGTTTAAACCACAAACAAGCAAAATACCAAACAAGAAGAGGGCTTTACAGGGATTTTATAAACAGCCCAATTCATCTTTCATCTGCAAAAACCCAAAAAAAAGCAAATTTGATGTTAGAACTTCTAAATTCGCCCTGTATATATATTTTTCAAAATTCACCGAATCTGATAAAAGGCACAACTTAAGAAATGATCTTTTTATAAACGATGTATCAAAAATTACACTAAACTTAAAAAAAAGTTCCTTTTCTTTCTAAAACAAAACCATAAAGAAAAAGAAATAGCATGATCACTTACCCATTACAAAATTTAAAAACATAAATAGAAAGAAATCATTTTTCTTCTTCAGGTCATCAAATTCTCTAAACCCAACAACTCCTATCTTATTAGAAATATATATTAATCAAAAGAATGAGACAAAAAGGGGTTTATAGTACCTAGAAGAAACAAGAGAGAAATTTGAGAGAAACCCACATGGGATTTTCCCATAATACCTAAAAATGATCAAAAGATTCGGAGAACAGAGTGAGGTCCAAACTCAAACATATAGAGAAGCCAGTGAGAAAGGCAAAAGGAAAGAGAGAGGAAATGAGAGAATCCTGTACCTTTGTTTCCAGAGAGTTTGAAGATAAGGGTTATTCTGCGTGGGATCGAAGCAAGGTATCATCAGAGAATTAATTATCTTCGTATTCCTTTTTTTCTCTTGACTTTTGGGATTTTTCTCAATTTTTAAATTTTTTTTTTTTTTCTTTTTGCGGTTTTGGTCACGGAGAAGAGAAAGAAACAGGAGCGATAACAAACCGACGGAGGTTGACTAATGGTTTTGGTGGGGCCCAGTTACCAGACGGTTGCTTTTGGTGGTCCGTAATGGCAAGGACAAGTCAACAACCATGTTCAGGCCGTTACGCTAAAAGTCCAATATAGGCTTTCTAAAAAAGGACTCACATTATTGTGAGAACAAAACACCAACATTATTAGTAGGTCAACCACACAAATCTTATCATACGTGCTAGCGAGATGTTCTGATCCATGCACGAGTAAGATAAAGATGTAATTTAGAAATTTTAACTGCTCGGAATTGTTTCGAAAATCTTGATGAGATGTTCTGATAAGATTTATTTCTTCAAATACGACAACATAAATATTCAGTTATGTCAATTTTTGGATTAGCGGTGCACCAAATGATTATGAACCATTGAATTAGTAAACTATAGATTTCGCACCGGTCCAATAGTAGTTTTTTAGTTTAAAGCACCATTATGTAATAATTGAGACCGTTAGATCTTTTTTCTCTTGTCAGTTGCCGCTATTTTAACTTTAAAAAGGAGATAACTCGTTAATAACTAAATAAAAAAAACAGTTATTGTTGTAGATGTAGTATATCTTTATTCAAGAATCAAGATGTGATGACATGTCATACCTTTTTTCTAGTGAGTTGAGTGGATGTCTTTTTCCTCTCTTTTTTGGAAACTACCTAGAAAGAAAGGAAATTATACCTATAGATTAAAGAAAGATTCAAATATTTGTAAAATTGTTTCTTCCTCTTTATAAAGTTTTCTCAAAATACTATAAATAATAGCAAAAGTTATAGCATTAACACTGAGACCATGAGTAGTGAAGAGGATTCAACCTCTTTTAAGATGCTAACACAACGGTTAAATGTCTGTTGATCAATATTTATAATGATAGCATCCTTATGAAAAGTACAATCTATCTAATCTAATCTAATCTAATCTAACAAATAAAAAGAGAATATAGAGATTACAATGCCCTAATGATGATTGATGATTCTCACCAGCTAAACCATACAATAATCAAATGATTACGCTCGCTGCTCCAGCCATCTCTTAGTTTTTAAAAAAGTTGGTGTAACTGTAATGCCCTATCTTTTTTACTTGTATATTATTTTATTATTATGGAAAAGAAAAGGAAAGAAAGGCATGAGAATTTTATAAGCATATAATCTCTCTTTACCCACTCCCAACTTTAGTACAGGGGAAAGTACTAGGAAGCTTCCAAGTTGGCTTGGTCTTGGTCTTTTACTTGAAGACCAAACTTTTCCCCAACATAATATATAAATTGC